TACAAAAGGATCAGTCCCCAGGCAGGTTTGGACCTTCAGATTTTCCTACCAGACTGCGCCTAGGCTAGATTGTTCCGGGCCCAGGTCAGGGCCCTTGGATAACAGCCTGGGCCTAGGTCAACCTCAGCCCAGCCAGCATCCACCTCTACAAACAACTATTACATTGGTCATATTCTTGGAGGGAGAAGAAAATGAATACGTGAAAGTTATTATACTCAGTACAAGAATGCAACATGCTTTGTATGGACTCTATATGGTTCTGAATGGTGCTCTTTATAGAGATCTGGGGGCCTAGCAAATATAATTCATGGAACCATGTGACACATGACACAATTTCAAGCTTAAATTTCAGACACAGACAATCCCTACAGGGTCTTCAGACAAAAGTTAACTCACTGAGTTACCTAAAGTCTGCAGTGACATTTGATTATGCACATCCAAATGCATCAATAAAATTTTATTGAAGTCCATCACAGTAACATAACACGCAAGTGAAACTTAGTGTTCACTGATGAGCAACTACTGGTATATTACATAAAAGTGAAAAACCAAAACATAGAGACAAGCATACCAAAATCCCCAGGGCAAAAGGAAGATTAGACAGATTGGGAAAAAACCTAAACTACCTAAAAGGGTTGAATCCGTAAAGACTGAAATCCGTTTTTCTGCCCTTCTTTTTTTTTTTGATGAATCATGGAGACTGAATACTGCTATTTTCCTACATTTCTGTTTCATTTTGTTGCCAACCACTCGCACCAAATTTAACAACGCTCATTACTCTTTCCAGTCCTGACAACATTGATAAACTTGCTGCATCTTCATTCTCATTCATTTAGAGAATGGTGGGTCTGGCTCGCAGATTCTCACAATTTCAAGAGAAATAAGGATTATTGTGATGTTACTGCACGGGTATGATGGGTGAAAGTTTTTTTTTTTTTGACTGGTGAAATTTAGAAGCATCCTTTTTTCATTTTGCATTTTCTTCCATTTCTTTTTCTATTTCCAGGGGAGATAGGATCGAAAAAATAAAAAATGTTACCAAAATAGCTATACATCTATGGTTCAATAAACCCTTGAAAATGTTCAACAACACACATACAGATAATCTGCCACAGGTGAATAATTATATTCCTAAAGAAGTGCTACACCAAAGCATTTCATATGGAAAGCGATGGTAACTTAATCAAAACAACTGTATATTTTTAGCCTCACAAATCAACTCATAGGCAAGTTTTTTATGGTCCTAAGGAACCACCAAAAACTGGTGAGCCTCCACTCTGTCTAGATTGATTTAAATGACCAGTGGAGATATGTGTGCCCATATGCGAGAAGGGGGAGAGAGAGAGACCACCTCCACCACAATCACCACAACAACCATGCCATCAACCATAGTTACTGGGATCCACCTACCACTTTTAGCAGTACAGTATAGATGTATAATCTAGCCGTGTGGTTTACTATGGTAATATATACCATAGTATAAAATGGTATATATTATATAGTCATACATAGAAGAGTTAAATACAGCAGCATATAGTATAGTAGAACATAGTACATAGCATAGTATCGTAGAATAGTATAGCAGTAGAGTATTGTATAATAATATGGTATATTATAGTAGTATGTATAATATTGTATAACGGTGTGGTATATTATAGAAGTATATATTATACAACAATGCTAGTCAAGTGCTCTCTGGGGCCTCCATTTTTAATTATATGGAGCTCAGTCCTGAATAATTTGTCATTCGAACCCGATGAAGTTTCGATCGAGCTCCCCCACTATTGGGATCGCGATCTCTAGATTTCAGGGTAAATGGTCCGTGATCACTACCATAGGGAGCTTTCTGCTTGTCACAATCCTGTGGTCCTGATCTAGATCCCGGATTTGATTCGATACCAATCCTGGTAACCATGGTGATGGTGATGGTGATGGCGATGGTGATAGAGGTTCAGGTAGCAGCTATGGAGGCATGCAATAGTAACGGCGGTAGCTGTTTGGGTGTTATATGGATCACCCAAAACTATCAGAATCCCAGAAAGAATTCACATATGGCTAACCGAGGTCCGACCAGAGGCCATACCGCCCAAACCACGTCAAGAATCGAAAGGGATCTTGAGCCATTCAGAACATTGCAAAACCCTGTGAATTCAACCCTATTTGACCAACAAGGTCTAAAGAAAAGGTTAAAGGGACAAAATCCCCAATTTGGGATAACCACAGCTTAAAACATAAGGGGACCAAGCCCCTAGCCACGGTCTAATAATGGCCTATAACCCACACCACTTTCGATTTTCAATTTTGGCCCTATTAGACTGATTTCAGAGTATAAAACCCTAGAATCAGCAAGACATTGGTTAAAATAACTAAGGGAAGACAATGGTGAAGAAACTATGCCATTAAGATCGAGTCTCAGATCAATCAGACACCCCAAATCATTAATCGCTGTGAAAATTCAAATTTCACCAAGACCTGCTGTTTGCGGAGCAAAAGACTCAGTCTCAAACGCTTTGAGTTGAATTCTAGGCATTTTGGGTAGGTATGCAAACTGACACCCAGGATAAACTTCCAAACCGCAGTCAAAATGGTAGGGCATCTGGAGCCTCTCAAACTTCTCAATTTTTTAGCTTAAATGATCTAAATCTGTGTTTGATTGGTGTAAAGTACTGCAGATTACGGGGCCTTGATTCCATTATTGCTGGCCTTGTATCCATGGTTTCTAGGTTCAAATATTGGAAGTCATGGTCAAAGAACTTGCAGGCCACATGGATGTCAAATTTGGGCATGATTTCTTGTTGAAATGCCCAAATGTGTCCATAAAATCATGCCAAAACATGATATGCAGTAATATAGTACGAATATCTCTACAAACTAAAGCAGAAAGACCGACAAACATGGGCCACTGAAGCCTAAAACTCCTAAACCTCAGTCACAATGAGGCGGGGGCATATTTGTCCTATCCAGCCATTTGCTGCCGATATTGGGTAACATTCAAAGTTCCACAATATATCTAGCACCTGAATGACAGGTGTTTCATACTTGATAAGCTTTTGGGTATTGTGACATATCGCACTACCCATTACTTAACTAAATCGATCTTCTCTCTCCACACCCTTTGTGGGAGTTCAAAATAAAAGAGAGGGTTTTTTTCAATAAAATAAAACAAAAGAAGTTTAAAAAAAAAGAAGTCAAGACTACTGAGACAGTTAGAGAACAGTCTAAAAACAGAGAGAACTATGAGAAAAACAAACAGCAAACAAGACACAGCCGAACACAGTTTCAAAGAAAAAAAAAACAACACAGAACCGAGCACCAAACTCTTCGAGAGAGAGAAGTGACTCTACGGAGGAACCCTAGACTGCAAGGATAAAGCAAAGACATGCCAGCAACATGCAGGTAAAAAGGGACTCATATATGTCATCTGTGTTGAATACTCTATATAACTTTTTCTTTGTAATCTTTGTAATCGCAGATCAATGGCATTGCGGTCTATAAAAAATACTGAATGTAAATAAATGGGGCATCTATGGGTGCCCTGGAATTCCTATTCCCCACAAATATAAAGCTCCTTCATGGGCGTGATTTAGATGCTTCACACTTGTATCTATTTTGAATTTCATAATTCTGGTTAATGTGCACACTTTTGACGTGAACAGTGGGCAGTACTATATAATATATTACATGAGTCACACATTGTCCGAACTGCCCACAAAGCACACTAACTAAAGTGTGTATTTGTGGATCACTAGGTCATTGTTTTTGCTGGAAATAGGGATGAAGCGGTGCAAAAATAAGTGACGAACGAAACAAAAGAAAGTTTTAGTCTTTGACCCTAGGTGCGAATGATCGTTCCTTCAAGAAAATATTTGTCTCTTAGTAAGACAAATCAGCATGCATCTAAGTTTCGCCATGCAAAGTTGTTTTCAAGATACATGGGAGCAAAAGATTATGAAAACTATCTTGTCCATACAAATGCACAAGTATTGTGAGATTTAGAGCATCAGTGTCGCATCTTTCTATAGAGAGAATTCTCACAAAACACTTCGTTAAGTAAGGAAATTTCTACATGCACAAACTACAGGAAACAAGTCCCTATTCATCGAGAGAAAAAGTGCCTTTTGACCTACTCTGCGTGACTGTTCAAGTGCATTAGGTTAGGAATTGCGTCTCTCGAAATCTCAACCATCAGAATGGCATATCTATTGCAAATGACATGCAACAAAATAGGCGAATGTCACGCGGTGTCTCTTCAGGTTTCGAGAAAGAAACTGTCACCAAAGAAATCTCAACCATGTGTGTCAACATCAATGGGGCCCATCTCTCACCAAAGCAGGTTACCGGAATTCCCCTATGATTTACCAGTGGCTTTGCCCATTATATTAAAACGAAACCAAGCCATGAACCCGACCTGCACATGTGCACAAGCTAAGGGTGTCTCATGTGCCTATGCGCGTGTGCAAAGTGCAAAGTGCAAAGTGTATCATCAAAAGCCTTTGTGCCCTTGCACATGCGTGTATGTGTGCCCATTCACATGCTACTATTGCTCTACAGAGGCCCTCTCCCTTTGGTTCTTAGAGCACACGTGATGAGGACAAACTCATTTTTAAGGAAGGCTTCCCTCATCCCATTCTCCAATGAAGGATAAATGACCCACTACTTCTCTCCACAAATAAGACAGAACGCACTTTTCATAGAATTACACTTTCCAAAACAGTATGTTATATAGGAGATATTATTTTGAAAAAACAAATAGTATTTAACAAAGCAAAATACAACAGTTTTAACTTAAACCAAGCACAAGTATATTGAAATCCATCCACTCCCCCTAAACCAAGCACAAGTGTATTTAAATCCATGCAGTACCTGGGAACCATTACATCAAGCACATATTGACTTTAAAAATAGTAACCCATGAACATCAATTCTTATTAAATGCTTTCCAGGTAATTGGATTTTTCAACTTATTTCTCACTTAGGAGGCTCTGGCTATGCGATCTTACCTCACTGAGAAGTTTTTTTACCACTTGGGCATCATTATTCTTAATCGCTTCCCTTAACCCCTGAAAACACGCAAGGAACAAAGAGGAGATGATGTTTCAAATTCTTCCATTGAAATGAAATGGCCCTGCATGTTGCTCCTAAATCGTAAAAGGCTAGAGGATTTACCTCCCCATTACAGTCATATTGCGCACAATGTTTATCGAAGTCTCCATCAATTGCTTGCCCAAGAGAGAAAAACATACTGCAAAAATTACATACAGTAAAATTTGGCAAACCAGCAAATTTACCTAAAGCAAGGACTTAAAAATCCAAATCTACAAATTCAATACAAGCCAATGTTTTTTGCCAGACTGGGCACCAAAGCAATCAAGGGCCTAGTCTATTCAAACCAACTTAACTGCCAGTGACACAAGTTGGACCACAACTTAAAAATCTAAAGCAAAAATAGGAAAAAAGCAATTTAAAAATATGAAATATACTATAAAAATAGCTGCCCAATCTTCTTTTGCTGGTCTAACAAGTTAGAACCGGTCATTCTAACTGACCAAAACCAGTCAAACAAGGTTTTATCAAGTTTTCAACCAATCCCGATTGTCGCTTTAAACATACAGGCCAAGGCACCAGTTTGTGGTGCAATTGGTTGGACCGGCTTGTCTGGTTTGGTTTTGATAACAATGATTCAAGCAAGCAAACCCACTTTTCAGAAAAAGAACTAGACTTAAGAGGTGGACTATAGGTTTTTGATATATCATAGCGAGAAACTCCAGATTTCTTTGCAAAACAAAACAATTAAAATTCCAATTTAAGGTTTTAAAAATCGGTGATCCAAATGGAATCGCCTGATCCATATTAGGAACTGGTGGCTACCAACTCAATTCCTGGACAAAACTGGGAATCAATCCGGTTCCCATGGAACCAGCCCGTTCTGTCAGGGAATCAGGCGATCTGGACCGGCAAGATTTCCATGTTCCTATAGATTTCATTGTTCATTATTTTATTTTTATTTTTTTCAAATTTTTTATTTTTTATTGACTGATTCTCATGGGGGGAATCAATCGGATTGCTGATTTGGCCCAATATCCAGGATGGCCAGTTCACCCCATCGATCCAGGTTTTAAAACATCACTCCAAATGAATTGCTCTTGCCTCTACAAGAATGACCCTTACAACTATTAGATAAGTCGGACATCAAACCTCGGTTTGTTGTTCACAGCAGTATTCATGTTCTTCACAGTTGAGTCTGCTGTTGCTTGTATGTTGATAGCTTTCTTTGGTTTTGTTGTTGGGTGAACTCTTGGTGTTACTGTGGTGTGGACCTGCATCACATCCTGTTTGTCACGCATTTTTCCTCACTTCTAATGCCAAAAATAATATATCGTCATAGAAATACCTCATAAAAAAATGAAGTACCTGTGAAGGGGTAGGATCTGAGGCAGGAGTTACACATATACATAAGGGCATTCCACACTTGCACTCTGGAAGATCTACTTGAGAGCGCTCTTTAGCTGGTTCGGCTTGTACGTCAATGGCTTCTTCACTGATATGTAACCTTGAAACCATATTTGTTGTGGCATCCATCCCTTCTGAAGTAGTTTGTGATTCATTGATATCCGACCTAGAACCACGAAATTACAAAAGAAAGACAGCATGGGATTTGTCAGTTAGAAGATGAATAGCTGTAGTAGCATTTCTAACTCTAGAGAGTTAGACTCATAGTGATACATAGGATCATGCTAAAATTATGGGTAAAAGATTGAGGCAAACAATATAAAGAATACAACAGATTAAACTAAATTTCTGTTAGTCGATCTTCCACCATCACTCCAAAATTGGGTTGCACTACATTTACTTCAGGAAATCGATCAAAAGAACAGGGCAAAAAAAAAACATTTGCTTTAGGACATCCATTATCGTGTTTTTCTGGAAAGTAATTCAGAATCCGACACTAAATTAACTGATTCAACACCTTTCCTAGGAGCAAATTGTAACTTGCAACCATGAATAACCCACTAAAAAGGTAAAATTGTCTTTTTCCATCTAAATAAGAAATACATCTCAGCCATTGAAAGTATAATATATAATTCTCAGCCATTGAAAGTACAATATATAATCATGTTTCCAGTATAAGATCTTTTATTATTTTAAATTATTACAGCAATTTCTTGAGGAAAATAAAAATAGAAAACTGCCATCTCCTAGTTGTCTTCGTTTGGAGGTTATTAGGTCAATACATCTTTGTGTTTCTGCAAGTTTAGTTCACACATTCATTAGTGCTTTGTATTACCTATTGCAGGCTCAGGCACAGTCTTTATACATGCTTATTACCATTCAAGATTATCTCATGATGGAGATAACATGAAATGTTAACTAGGGCAGAGAGAACCAGGAAGAATGTGAGCACAGCCTCCTCCTCTATGCTTGTCTCCTGTAGATTGAGACACATTCTTTTGTTCTCACATGATACATCTAAATATCATCTAGGTATGTTGCTAGTTTTCTGGTTATCACTTTGCTCATATTACTCATGTTTACAGGGCATGTGCTCAAGTACATCATGGTTTAAATATGTTCAGGCTTGTCCAAATTCTCTATTAGTTGATCCCCAGTTGTTGGACATGTATCTAAAAGGAACCTGGTTTCACTTTGCTTCTCCAACCATCAATTTACAAAAGCTCATAATCACCCTTTTAAATTTAGCATGGACCATTATTTGCTCAGAATTTTCCCCATTGTACAAAACAAGATTAGCTGGGTATGATGCAAGGCTCCGGATTGCATATATGTGACACGTTTTCAGGAGTAGCAACTTAGTGGTTGTAGTTGTACCCTTCGACCATATCATCAGGAAGGCCAATGAAACTGTTGAATCACTCACAAGAGAATCATTCACAAGAGAGGTCTAGATGAAAGCTGATCATTCCAGTCACTAAGCAGTTTCCCGGGATGCATTTGATTCGTGTTTTTCAACATCCCAAATTCAAATAAAAGATATGCTGCTATGCATATGAACAAAATAGGCTCCTTTACATCAAGTGAAGTGCTTATGATTACCTGCCAAAAGAAAAATAGCGACCACATGAAAAGAAATATTTGATATGTATTTTTTTCATCTGTCAGAAATTTGATTCAAAATAAACAACATTTTTTTTCTCAAAAAAGTTCATAACAAACAAAAAATAAGAGAGAATATGGTTCTTTTGTCGCATACAGATGTGATCTCTGTGCATTCCTATTCACTGAATAGCAATTTCTCTCTCATGATTTTAGCATATTTGCTACATTCCTTCATGACTTATCTAAACTATCTGCCTCAGCCTCAAGAATAATGTCAATCACTGCAAACAAATACAAGAACCCAATCATAGTTTTAATAACTCTCAGAAATAACACCCCCCACCAAAGACCAATGTGTTTTAAACTTTAAATCCATCCAATAACAAGGCATCTGACAACCCTGATCCTGACAAGAAAGGCTTCGACCCTTAATCTCTAGAAAATAATCAAAAAGTTAAAGTTAGGAATGGGCTGATTGATTCCTGTATAAGTCTAGAACTCCGGATCACCAAGAGGTCTTACAAAGCATATAACACTCTCATCCTAATCATTACAAATAACCTCCACTTAAACGCATCACCACTAGATTTGTGTTGGAGCTCCAATCAAAGCCACGAATCAACATGCATTGAGTTGCAGAGGACCAATCCATGCAAGGTCAAGCATTGCAAAAATACATGCACATCACAATCAACCATGAGTTGTCTATTCAGAAGCCTTTAAACCCTCCATTTCAGGAAAACCTAAAGCAATAACAACTTCATCAACTTTGAAAATCAACCAATTGCTTTCTTATCATAATCTATACATGACTGTCAGTGATCATATGTAGCCTAAAAACTACACTCCCCATCTGCCCATGAAATCCCAGCATGCACCATAAAATTAGAGGAAAACCAACATAAAGATGCCATATTTTTTCCAAGCAAATTGAGTCGCCATAATATCCCATTTCTTCCATCTCATACATAGAACATGCATGACAAGCATATTAAAACCCCATCGTTGAAGATTGTCAACTGTTGTACTTTATCCTGAATACCTCATAGGCTAGTCAGCAAAAGAAAAAGACAGTAACTCCAAAGGAAGCTTCCTTCCCTAAATCCCCCAAAGAATCCAATAAAAGATAAATACCACAGGGAATATGATAATATAGTAATCTTCTTCATGGTTTCTCGAACGCCTTCATGAATGAAACTAGAACTAGGTCTTGCTCAAGATGTTTAATTATTAGAAAGAATTACATATGGTGATCTAAGAATTCAAAATGAATATTTTGGAAGAACTTAGCTGTGGCTCCAATAGTTGATAAGAAGAGAGAAAGTAGACTTAGGTGGCCTGACCATGTGCAGGACAGACCCAGTACAGCATCTGTTAAGACCTGCGAGTTGGTTCAAGTGGAAGGCTCAAAAAGGATAAAGAATAGGCCCAGAAGGACATGGATGGGGACTTATTGCCTCATTGAAGATATGGCCCTTGATAGAGCAGAATGGAGAACTAGGATTCGTGTAGCTGATCCCAAATAGTTGGGAAGAGGCTGTAATAATGATGATGATAGTAAATTATCAAAAGTCACTGCATGAAACAAGAAATAATTCTTCGTGATATGAATATGAAAAAAGAGCTAAAGATAATATATAATATATGAAGCAAAGAAAACATTTCAGGAAACTCATCATACAATATAAAAATCCAAAGAAATTAAAAATGTCCATAAAAAATGAAAAATAAACAGCGAATTGGAAACAAGAAAGGAGTTGTTAAACTTATTCAAAGCCTTATTTGATCAAATATTCACAGGAAAGAAAAGACTCCTACAAATTCAACATGAGAAAGTCATGCTTTATATTCAATAGCACTTGTATGAGGTTTACCGTGAAGCCCCATTGAAGCAGTTGGAGCAGACTCTGACATTGGAGTTTATGCCAAATTGTGGCAAGGCCTGTGCCAATTTCCCCATTTAACTATCACTTAGTATTGAAACACCCATAAGTGAATACGCTTAAAGTAATAGGAGGTGTAGTAGGAGAAGAAAAATTAAAACTTAAACATTTAAAGCTTATCAAAACAATATTTAAATAAACTATAGAAGGTTAACAACCAAGAGAAAAAAAGGAAAGAATTTGAAGACTAACCATTTGATTTGATGAATGCTCATTGCATAATGTCCTACCGCAGCAGCGGCAATGGTGCTGCATCATAGCACATACAGCTCAAATCAGCAACAGATCTGGAATCTATAAGCCTAATTCTCAACCAAGAGTGGTAATGTTTACACTAGCACGTTGTTTTTCATTTACGATAAATTATAAAACAAAAAGTGCATAATATAAAATGAAGCATCCATATTATCCATCCAACAATTAGCAACATCCTTCTACAAAGTTGATTCCATGGTTTAAACGATTGCTTTTATTTTTCTTTTTAAATATAACTATTTGGACAAAAACAACTGCCATTCCATCTATTTTCTCAACCCTCTTAAGAGTACCACTTTTCACAAAAAATCACCTGCTAGTTGACAGTTTGGATACTCATACATTTGTTTATATGAAACAAATGAGCCAGTGATTCATTCCTCATCATAGTGCAAATTCATGCGGAGAATATGGAGCCCTAAACTCAAGTACTCTCCCGGTTTGAGTCAATGCTACAAGCCTCTTTCCATGGGTTGGTGAAATCAGAGTAATCTGTCATTATGCAGCATTGGAGGAAAAAATTGCCAATTGTAGGCGAAGGAAATCAGCTTTATGACCGCCCCCCTGTGACCAAAAAAGCAATTATCAAAGCCACAAAGAGGCTTCAAACAGAGAATGGCAGACCTAACCTTCCATACCCTCCCTTCTAACAAAGAAATCAAGGGCCATGGGCAAGATAAGGCTCTTGGTCCTTATGATTACCTAGCAGCTCCATTCAAACATTTTTGGGATACTTCGAGCCCCACACACTTGGCTTCCTTAATGCATTCTCCATCACAAAGGTAGAATCCACCAAGCCATGAATGCCACATTCGTGGCCCTTCTACCCAAAATCGAAGGAGCCGAAGACCTCAAAGATTCCAAGCCCCTATAAGTTTTGTTTTTTTTTTTTTTTGAATTGTTGATGGTGAGAATGGAGGGTGGGACGTTATGTTGAGCCATCCGCCCCCCTAACCACCTATGCTCCACCCCCATCGGTTTACTCAATAGCTCCTATAAGTTACTACCACAGGTTCTTGTTTCCTGCCTCACAAGGTCTTGCAATGGTTCATCTCCCCTTTCTCAAGGGACCTTTGTTAATGATACGCAAAAATTGGATGGGATTTATGTCACTCATGATTGTATCCATTCTAGACATCTTACAAACAACGCAACAGGGATGTGGTCCTTTAGCTTGATTGACAGCAAGCCTATGACCATATCGAATGCGGCCTGCTAGATGAAATCTTGGGGAAAATGAGTTTTGGAGAATAATGTAGGTTATAGACGACTGGTTGTATCTCCACACATTTTTTTCTATCCTTATCTAGAGCAATGACAGGTGTCTCTTCCCCATTCTCCCCATTCTTAATTGTGATTATGGTGGAGAAACCAGGGTACTATGGTACCCCACCTTCTAAGCACTAGTGAGACCCTCATCTTTTGAGATGCGACCTAACAACAAGTCCTACCTCAGTGGTCTTCTTAAGATGCTGCCTCAGTGGTCTTCTTAAGATGCTATGAAACAGTGACAGGCCTCAAGATTAACATGGTCAAGTCAAAAATCACGGGAATTGCCACTAACAACCAAACAATTCAGATTCTTGAAAACATCTGGGTTGAGGTGTCAAGTATCTTGCAACCAAATACCTCAGTTTGCCACTTTGCATTGGAAAACGTCAAAAATAGATACGAGTTGCCATAGTAGAAAGATTCAAACAAGGAGCTTGGAAAGGTATATTTCTTACCTTAGAAGGGCATGACGCTCATCGAAGCCACCCTCTCTAATTACCGATTTATCAAATGTCTCTAATTCACCACCCTCGAAAATGGTGGTGGCATTTTGCAAGCCAAGAAAGTATCATGACAAAATGTGGTCTCTCACAAATATCATACCAAGGCTTTGAGCTGGTTCCCTAGGGCAATAACAAATTCAGGATCCTCCAGGCTATGGTCTACTATTGCTAGTTTTAGCAAATTTTGTGGCAACGTTCGCTTCAGGGAAAAAGTGGTGACCGAGTTAAAGTTTGGGTCTTTATGGTTTGGTAGAGCCACTTTCCAAGATCGTTTCCCAGCCCTCTTCCTCATCGCTACCTACCAGAATATCACAGTAGCACTCACTTTTAAAACTCTTGGGAACTCATAGGTATGGAGTCCAAACTTTAGAAGAGCTCTACACAACTATTAAAAACCGGTGCTCGAGGCATATCAACTCTCCTATAAACAAACTTTCTACTAAGGGACAGACCAGAGAAGATCATATGGGCACCTTCCTCTTCAGGCAAGTCCACTGTTGCCTCCTTCTATCATGCCTTGCAACAACAGCTATCCCCTCTTCCCACTATGGCAAATAGAGCCTAGCTGAAACCCATCCCACCCAAAATTCAAGATTTCTTGTGGCTAGTCATCTGTAAAACATCCTAACCATGAAACAAATCCAAAACAAAGGGATCGCCATCCCAATAAATGTGCCATCTGCAAGTTAGCTGAAGAAAGCAATGAGCACTATTCCTCCACTGCACTAAGGCCAGTAAAATAAGGCCACGCCTCCTTTAAATATTCCAATGCATCTTAGTGATGTCAAAGTGTGCATCTGTCAACTCTTTCAGGCTTTCATAATCCCCTCATTGCCAACTGCAAGCCTATTCTTGTGCCTTGCAGCTATGGCTGCTACAGTTTGGGTCGTTTGGATGGAAAGAAACACTTGTATAACATAATAATACAAAATCTAGCCTTTTTCCTAATAGAAAACAAAAGGAAAGAGCGTCATTCAAGTGAGAGCCACGTCGTTTTTTGTTTTAGGATATATGCCACCAAAATCATGAAAACATTCATCTTGATGGTAAAGTTAAAGGAAGGACCTCACTGATTCAACCATCCTAAGTTCTAAGTAGGAAGGTGATTGAAATTAAATAAAGCAGCAAAAGCAATTGAATCCGAAGAATCTCCAGCTCTCTTTTCTCTTTGCAGAATAGAAAGCATGATATATTCCAGTGGCTGCGTTTATTATACTACACCAGATCAATTAATTTCTCCTACTCCTAGTATGGTTATATTATTATTCATGTGTCAGATTGCAAGAAAAACTTAACATCAATAAATAAAATAAATAAATAAATAAATAAAACTAATTGATTGCTTATTTTTGTCATTTCTTGGCATGAATTTCATCGATAGACATTATGCTAATGAAGCCACAAAAAAAAACAAAAAACAAAAAACAGAAACAAAAAAAACATTCACCGATGATGATAATGAATCAAAAGAAGAAGAGAAGAGGAAGGAATGGAAAGTGAAGTACTCTGCGCCTGAAAGTATTGAAGCTGCATTTGCAGACGTCACAGCGTGAGGCTTCCTGGAAGGGAGGAGGCTCCTCCATGTCGTTTCAGAACAATGAATTCCTCAATAGACCAAACAAGGATTGTTGAGATTTAGAGAGAGAGAGAGATGGCGTTAGAGAGAGAGAGGCCTCCGAAATGACGAGAAAGCGATCACTTTAGAGAGAGAAAAACACCGAAGGATTTACATCGCGTCAAAAGTCGCGGGGAAGCACTTTTACGATTAGAAGCGAAAGGTTTAATATCTAAAGATTGTATGCTCCCGCAGGAGCATATCATCAACCGCTAAATCAGAATCATAACATACACGCACCATCCCGCGAAGCTGGCCATGGCATCATGTAGGGTAGATCGCTGTAGTGTCCGCCGCCCTCTCTCATTTGGACGCCTTTGGGCACTAAAATTAGGCCTTTGGGCACTTAAATGGTTCCAAATTTGGCGCAAATACTCTGCTACAAGCCAAAAAGACTAAATAAATAGGGCCTGAACACTATGTTTTCTCATTATTAGTTAAAGCTTTTTCTCAACTACGATCGAATTTTCATCGTCAAAGCCTTTTCTCGATTAATTGAGATTGCTTTTTTTCAAATAATAGAAATAAACTACACGAATCCTAATCCGCTATTCTGCTCGATTAAAGGTCATACCCTCAGGGAGGCCATCGGTCCCAAACACTATATTTTCTCCAAAATATAGCTATACTTCTACTCCCTCGAACAAAAAATCTAACTCAGAGAGATTTTTCTCTACTCCCTTGATCAAAAGACCCAACCCAGGAGATCTTTTTGTTATGAAATTTTGGGAACCACTAAAGAATTGCTAGACAATTATTCTAAAAAGAAATTGAAATTTGAGCTTTCCACCATCTAGATTTCACCATCACAAATTTGGATAGTTTTATTTAATCTCGAGACATTATTTTTTCAAGTGTAGGTATACTTAAATTTTGTTTTTTATTGAGACTAATTTATGGGTTGAGAGGTTATATCCCTAAAATCTGAGGTCCTAAAATTAATTCTAGGAGAGGTTAGAGGTTTTACCCAAAGGGATAAATGCACATTCTACTACCGAATGAGTGGAATATCTTTTGGCATATAAATAATACTTTTTTCTCTTCTACCCCCACCAAAAAGTTCTGTCTAGCTGATACTTTTTAAGCCAGGAGAATAAAAATTGATAATTTTATAGATAATAAGGAGAAAAATTATATAAGGCCTGATCCTTAAAATTATATAAGGTATGGTCCTTAGTCAAAGCAAGGTGAAACTAAAAAATCCACTAGAAATAATTGTTCTAACTTTGAAAAAAATATTAATTGATCATCCTAACCTCTAGATATATAGATATGAAAAGGACGAGAGAGAGAGAGAGATTTAAAGTTTTAAAAATAACATAACTTGTAATATATTATTTTAAAACTGTCAAGATTTTATAGATCCATTTGATCACAACTACATCTTCCAGTAGAATATGAAGGGGCGCCCTTTTTTATTGTTTAGGGTTAGTCATCCATATCCAGACCCTAACGAAATCCGAGTAACTCAAGCGAGTCCGTGCCTCAGTCACAAATTTTTAAAACAGTGTTGGATAGGAGCTCACACGTAAAGGTTCAAATACATTGCGTACCTACTTCTCAAACTTTCTTTTCTTTTTTCTTTTTTTTTCCTTTTTCTTTTTTTTTGTTTTAGCTAGAAGAATTGTTCAAACTTTCCCCTTTTTGTCTCTTTTTTTTGTTTTAGTTCATCATCAACAACAGCAGCATCATTGAGAAACTATATAATGAGACCACTTACCTTTGTTACAAAGTGGTTACAATTAATCCTGACCATTGAATATAAAATTGGATGGCTGCATTTATTTCATTGACCAAGCTCAAAGTTCAAAAGAAATTTTTTCGAACTTTACGACACACCCAAACTATCATATTTCACATTAGATGGTTCTAAGTAATTCTGATCCCCTATACTCAAGGTAAATGACCTCATTGTATACAACCCGTTTGTTTTAGTTAGAGCACAGGAACAACGTTTGGTTCTCCTTCCACGCAGTGAAGTTGCTGTGAGTATCACAATTTGAACAAACAAAATTTACAGCTCCAACTTCTAGAGAGGTGGGAGAGGGAGTGTAGTCTATTGTTGTACAATGATAAATAGCATATCTGTGTTCACAACTACGTATAATGATATAAATGCCTCCCCAAGTTCCAATTTCTCCCCATGAACATGATGCACTTACCTTAAGAGTGTTTGTCTTACTAAAAACTGATCCATAACCAACATTTCTTGGATGCCGGTGAGGGATATTGCTTACATTACCGAATGAAATGTTGTGAGTGGATCATTAGAGAAGCTTCAATCCTCCAGTTACATCATCGACCGCATCTGCGGGTCCTGCACAAGTTCAAGTCGAGTCAATCTGGAATTTCACCAAAAATTAAAAAACTGCCTTGAGTTATTTATCAGGAGAAGAAATAACAAAGTTCGTGCAAGTTATCTCTTCAAGACTTTGCTATTCAGAAGAAGGATGATAACATGTTTCACAAACTCAGTCAATTAAAAAGAATGTGCTTTTCGGTTCTGTCCCATGTCTTCAATAAAGACACAGATTCTCAGCAAGAGATTTTACATCAAAAACTGTGACAGCCCAAACTATTATATTTCACAATTAGATGGTTATAAGTAATTGTGACCCCTATACTAAAGGTAAATGGTCTCATTGTATACAATCCCGTTTGTTTTAGCTAGAGTATAGGAACAAAGTTTGGTTCTCTCTCCATGCAGTGAAGTTCTTGTGAGTTTCACAAATTGAACAAACAAAATTTACAGCTCCAACCTCTAGAAAGGTGGGAGAGCGTCTATTGTTGTACAACGATAAATAGCATACTTGTGTTCATAACTACGTATAATGATATAAATGCCTCCCCAAGTTCCAATTTCTCCCCATGAACATGATACACTTACCTTGGATTGTTTCTCTCACTAAAAACTGATCCAAACCTGACATTTCTTGGATGCCGGTTAGGGATTTCCAATCGGATACAAATCAATATCATAAAGGATTTATTGTACCATCACAGAAGATTAATAACCCTATTTATTCATAGATACATTCATTGATTCAGGTGGAGGAGCAGAACACGGAACAATATAATGAATCCTATGAATGCCCAATAGCACCACTAGAATATTATGTATCCGCACGGCAGAACACATATTGATCCTCGCCACAAAAAGACCTCTCTTTCTCTCTCTCTCTCTCTCTCATACACATGTTCACACAGGTATTGTCTCAAAGGGGGAAGAATCTTTTAAATAAGGAATGCCTCAGAGCTACGGAGTGAAATAATGAGGTCTGATAATCATCCACTTTAACTCGCATCATTAAAAAGGTAAAAAGTATGAAGGCAACGCTCACAAAACACTTGACAAAAAGAAACTAGAATCTTTAAACCATGACTGTCAGTTTTACTCGAAGAAAAAAAGAAAGCTTGAAAGCCTGTCTTTTACAATAATATCTTGAATTGGTTCTAATAAACAAGCTACAAAGCCTACTACAGAGAGAACTAAGCGGGAAAACCAATCTTACCAAGAATAGCCATCACAGTCCTCGAATCTGCAGGAAAAAATAAAAAAAATGAAAGGAGGTTAAATAAACCTACTTTTTTAAACTGAAGTATAAGCAAGTGAAAGGAACAACAAAAGCATTCAGAAAGCAGCAATATCTCATGCAATAGATTTACAAATACCATATATACACTGACTTTATGCAACATACTTGGTGCAATTTGAGTTCTCCCTGCATCAATCGTAATGTGCGTTGGCAGCTTCAGGGATTTTGCTTTCGCCTATAACAAGAAAGCCCCATTAATTAGATGACAAGAAATAGAACTACATTGACTCCTCCAAACTGTGTGGTAGTTTGGGGAATATATAAAAAGATGAAGAATCAAATGCTTCAACAAGGTGACTCCTATTTACTATATAGAATTAGAAAAAATCAACTAAGAAAATTAATCAAGGGAAGCGAATATGAGATGCATATCAGAGCAACGCAAGCCAAGCAACTCGCTGCATGAGAAACTCCTATAGTAGCAGTTAGACGTGAATTTTTTGAAATAAAACCCTTGAATTTAGACATTCAAATTTGTAGCTTGGAAAAATTGAAGCTATCATATCTTGACTTCAATACAGAGATCAGTTTTTGGGAATCAAGAGACACTTGGATCTGGCTATCATATACTCAAATCCCAATGAGAAACTCTCAGATATGTAAATCAAATACATGAACCTATGAATCCACGTGAAACCCTAGATCACCTAGGGTTTTGAGCAAGATGTAGAACAAACCCCTAAAAGAGGAAATTTTGTGGAGAAGTGGAACCCATTGTGTCCATGCACCATCTCATTAGAAAACATATTGTCACGAAAGTAGATAAATACTATCAAACACAGAACTCATTAAATTAGAATCCCCAAGGTTTGGTGGATGAAACTATAACAGCTAAGAGACACTATCATGTACACAACCTTTACAAAGTAAATATAAATTGTATCCAGAGAGGAACAAATCCCAAGGCTAATAGTTACTACAATCACCAAGAATAACACAATATAGCCCTTTTGTGAAGTGTCTATTGAGCTATCAGCATCCAATTTTTTTGCGTGTAGGAAATTATCTAACTCTAATGCTTAAGGTCAATAAAGTGCACACCAACTGTAAGCATTCAATACACGACCAGAACTGCTATTTAGTATATCTTAAGGCATTGTATACTACAAGACCATCCACTTTTGGTTATTGGTATAAAGAGGTCACAATCACTTTTAGCCACTAGGTGTAAAGTCCAACAGATTGAAGTGTGTCACAACATTAGAGAAATTTTTTAGACTTTGTGCCCAGTCAAAGACACATTGCCAACCACCCATTTCACATCTAACAATCAATAATGATTGTGACCTCCTTGTGTCAAAAACAAATAGTCCTATTGTATACATTTCCGTAATTTACCCAAAAAAAGATACATGTCCATATGTTGAAGGAATGTGACTAATTTATTTTTGAAAAATACAATGCTGTAACTAGCTGAGATGCCTCCATAACATATATTCAAACACTTTCGGTGACACAATATCATCCATTTAAGCTTAGCATAAGACACTCAAGGCAATTCGTATCATTTTTCTTTCATCAACAGAAAGCCCAATCATCTGTTGATGTTAGGTCAAAATTTCTAAAACAACATTTACGAAGAAATATTTTTCCTGTTTTTTTTTTTTGTCAACAAGCAATATCTCCGGGTCGCTGATACCTGAAGAACCAGCAACTCCTCTTCACTTTCAATCTTCAATACCACTTTAACTTGACCATTCATTTCCCACCTGAAATGAACAACAGCATCAAAAATAGGGTTGCACAAAAGTTTAGCATAGAATTTCTGAGACATAGAACAGAATATTTCAGGAAACATTATATAGAGAGCAAAAATATATGGTTTGATACATGATAAAACGAACAGAGAAACACCTTAAACAAAAGAATGAACTACTCAGTGAACAATGATTCATCAAAATTGTATTGTGATAACAAAAGGAAAGATACTGCAAGTTTAAGGGCATGTCTGGATGCTGCACCAAAATGCGAATCACATGCATTTTAGGTGGCTTTTTGGATGAAACGTATGTGTTGGTGGCTTCTTTCGGAACCACTTTTTATGCCCTCATAGGTGTGCACAAATCCAAGAAATGCTGCTGTTTTGTGTGTGAAAAAATTAGAAAATACCTGTTTTAATTAAACCTAAATACAACACCACTTTTTATGGAATTCAAAACAGAAACTGACACAAAATGAAGCGGCCACAAAAGCATTGAGACTACATGTTAATACTAATGTTCCGCTGGAAGCTCAGCACTTCATTGGGCAATTTCTTTTTCTTTTTTTTTAATCCAATTTAAGCTTTATTTTTGTGTTTTGCATTGGAAATTTCTTTTTTGTTTCAAGCCTAAATAGTCCCATGAATAAAAATAAAACTCATACCAAAGGTACAAAGCCCAACACAAACATTGACAAATGCCCTAGAAAACACAGACCCAGGTCTCCATCGCTAATCCTGGCATCCCAAATCCCATTGTGAGTTCTGCTCCTTACTAAGTGATACATTTTCATCTGAGTACACTATTCTCAAGGCTCTCTACATCAGCAGCCTTCACCAGAGCCCATCTCTAACTATATTTGATTCAGCTTTTGTTTGTCTTTCATCTCTTTGTTGTCTTCATCTGTAAACATATTACTATAATAGAGAGGGAACAATCCCAATTCATTTCGCCAGGTGCACAACCTTTGAAATAAACCGCAATAACCCCCCCCCCCCCAACACACACACACACACACACAAATAAAAACAAACAAACATGCGCTCTCCTTTCTTCCTCCCTCCAACGGAACAATCCCGAGAATTCTGAGCCACCGACATTCCCAGCTCTTAGAGATTTTAAAAGCATCTCAGCATCTGAACCCGTCCAGACTAAAAAATCAGCCATCATCGCTTTGCCCACCAGACTGGTGCTCTTTGAGGGACAACACAAACCCTATCATATGCCTAAATGTGTATGTGCATGTTATAAATCTATAGATCTATAGATCTCTTTGCTTACAAAATCAAAAGCAAATACAATTAATTGGAAAAAGAAAAATATTTAGCCCTTATAAGTTTTTGGACTCATGTATCCCTAAACTATGACCCTAGAAATAAAGCACATATGGAAGAACTTTTATACTATATAGGATTCAATAATGTCAATCCTAATATCAAAACTTTCTCATTTCGACATTACAAGAAGCCATCTACGAATATGTTTTTAGGAGATCGAATAATGAACTAACACAGTGATGGAGGACAAAATTATACTTATTTTTAATTTCAACTCAATTTTAAAAGATGTATATTTTGATTTTATTTTTAGGATTTTAAATTTTTTTTGGGATTTTAGGGCTTCTTATATTTTTCTTTATTTACTATTCAAGAGTAGTATTCATGGCACTATTCACCGTTGTTGTTCACATGTTATTATTTACAGGGTATTTTTGGAATTTTAGTATTGTTTAGGGATATTTTAGAGTCTTAATTGTTTACTTGGGTTTGTTAATTTAGGGTTTCATAGGCTTATAAAAGGTTGGATGTCACATTTTGGGAGATCTATGTTATCGGAATAAATTTTATTTTATGAAAAAAAAAAGTTTTTCTTCTCTTGACGTGATTTACAGCCATGTTCTTTCTCCAATATTGTTGATTTTACTTGTTTAAGGTGAAGGAAAATGGTAGATTTAATTTCCCACCTTCCTTCCTACATCAAGTGGTATCAAAGCATGGTTCAAAGACGGCTAGAGATTGTGATGGCTTCTCGTGGAGGTCTTAGCCGTAAGGATGCCGATCTGATCCAACTACACAAGGAAATTAACAACTTGACGGAGATGGTTACAGAGCTATTGTTGCGCAAGCGAGGCCAGCAACAACGTGTCCTAAACGAAAAGGAATCCACACTGATAGATCCAAATCGTGAAGATCTTTTATGGAGAATGGCGCGAATCAAAGTCCGACTCAGAGTTGGAGTGGAATGATGAAGTTGCCTTCAACCACCTGTTCTATACACGCACTCAGTGTTGGGACCTTCATGTTCGGAAGAGTAGATCATGGGATTTAGTTGATCTATATGATTTGAAGGAGAACAAGGTTGTGATTTTGGCGTAGGTTGTATCGAAAATCCGCAGGTTGTAGATAGGGATTTTCCATCAATTTTCGATACATACTTAGATGATAAACAAGATCGTGTAAGAGATCCAATCTATGATAATGATCAAGATTTCGTGGGCGAACCGATCTTTAATGAAGAAAAAGTTGAAGATCTTAAGGATATCAAAGAAGTAGAACATTTAGGAGATTTAGGGCATTGGAATCAGAGTAGTGTAGTGGAAGCATGGCAGACTCAAAATCTGCAAATTGTGGCCCTGGTTTCAAAGAGTAATAAAATTGATGTCGAGAAAACCTCTAAAGTATAGAAAATTGAGTTTGAAGGTTCCTACACGATCAATGGGAGCTCAAGAATAACCAAATTTGATAAATTTGTATCGAATCCTCAATATACATAGGAAAATTGTTTCACGAGGGCTGGACCGCATTTCCACAATATGAGCACACTTCAAAACTCGAGAACGCGTTTTCTCCAACTAGGGGAGAATGATGGAGGGAAAAATTATACTTATTTTTAATTTCTATTCATTTTTAAAGGATATATTTTTATTTTATTTTTAGGATTTTAAGTTATTTTTGGGATTTCAAGAATTTTCTTATATTTTTTTATTTTCTATTCACAAGTACTATTCATGGTACTGTTCACGTGTTACTATTTACCAGTGTATTTTTGAAATTTTTGTATTGTTTAGGGGTATTTTAGAGTCTTAATTGTCTACTTGTGTTTCAAGTTAATTTAGGGTTTCATAGGCTTATAAAATGATGGATGTCACATTTTGGGAGATATATGTTATTGGAATAAATTTTATTTTATTAAGGAAGAAAGTTTTTCTTCTCTGGGGTTGATGTTCTTTCTCCAATATTGATACTTTTACTTATTTAAGTTTCGGAAAAAGGGTGGACTTAATTTCCCATATTTCCTTCATGCATCATATAGCAACATAACAAGATTGACAAAGACCCGTTTTTATTTCCATAATATAAATAGCAGATCGAATTAATTTCCTTGAATTTCTAATAATAGTAAATTGAAAACTCAAAGAATTCTAGATAAATTTTATTAGCCAGACTTCAGTTTTGGGATCCCTAAAGGCTTTTCTTCTATAGGACAAGCACCCCCTAAAGGCTTTTCTTCTATAGGACAAGCACCAACATTAACATTAAGAATCCAAAAAGAAAAGAAAAGAGGCACTCTTTTCAAACATGAATTACAATGTGGCTGCATTATAAGCATAAGCCATTTGAACTTTCAAAATGATTGTATCATCATCATCAAAACCTTTTCTCAACTAATTGGGGTCGGCTACACGAATCCGGGTCCGCCATTCTGCTCTATTGAGGATCATACCCTCAGTGAGGCCATAAGTCTTCATATTTTTTCTCATTACTTCTAACCATGTCTTTTTGGGCCTACCCTTTGCTCTTTTTAAACCTTCCACTTGAACGAACTCGCATCTCCTAATAGGTGCTATACTGGGTCTGTGCCACACATGTCCAGCCCACCTAAGTCTACTTTCCCTCATCCAATCATCGTATCACCTATTGGTGCCACACTAATGCAAGGAGAAAATAAAACTGGAACAATAAAAATAAAAACAGAAGAGTGCAGTTAGCATACGAATGCATCTGTAGCTGTAGAGGTAAGGTGCACCTTCAAATTTTATCATGGTATATAATTTTGATGTAAAATGTTCTTAGGATTATCTCAAAATCTATTTTTATATCTAATTATAAAATTTTAAATTTCAAAAATGGTTAAAATCAAGTAAATCTATAAACATATGAAAATCTTGAAAATGGACGGTGTAGATAATGTGTTGTAAAATGAACTATCTCTGAGACTTAAAATCGTTTTATTGTTCATGCTCATACATCTCGATGTCGAGATGATCAATCAAAGGGTTTTCAACATTAAAACTACATTTTCCGATGGATTTTTGAGGTGCATCCATAGTTACATATAAGGTTGCAACCTCATATAAACTTTTAAAGGTTGAGAGAAGATACCCTCTCTCAAGGTCTACAAGGGAGTTCACCCCAAAAATAATCTTTTCTCAAGATCAATTTATTCAACTTTCATTCTTTGTTCTTTACAACAGGGACTTCTTCCCTTTAAATAGACTTTAGGGGGGAAAAAATAAACTTAAAACAAAACTCTATTTCTCATGTCAACGTCACATACTCCCTCTACCCCTATCTTCTCTTTTCAGGATAAGGACAACCCCCCTCTAAAAACCTATTCCTAATAAGAATTTTATTCAAGCACCATCGAAAGATAAATCTCTCTCTTCTACATACTTTCCCATATTTTCTCTCTCACCTTTTCTCTCTTACACATACCATCCCTATTTTCTCTCTTTCTAACTTCCACATTAGCCTTTCTAAGAGTAAAAGATAACTACCACTTATTATTTCCTAAACCAATATATCTTTCCCTCATCTACATGTTATTCCCTAAACTAAAACGATAAACCTTCCCAAACAAATCACGCACCAAACTTAGACCCTCCTAACTTATCACTTCCTATCCCTAAGAAAAATAAAAAATAATAATACGAAATCTTTTTTTGAATTTTCTTCTACATCATTCTCCCCGGGTTGGAAGAAGCTCGACCTCGAGCTTGACTCAAAGTGGATCCCCTTCATCACCATACAGGACTATCTCTTGAACTTGATTTTCTTCTAGAACTTTATCCGCTTCCTTAGCCAAGTGTACCTCCAACGTCATTTTTGGGAATTCATATGCACGGTGCCCTAGCTTGTTACATCAATAACACGTGAATTTTGTAGTGCCCCTTTTCTCTTCATTAAATTTTGGTTGGCACGAAACCTCCTTCTAGGTGTAAAATCACTTATCACTGCTCCCTGGATGTTTAGTTTCTACTCGTAAAGCAACTTGAAAAGCTTCACTTAAAATCCATGGCCGATGTAGAAAAACTTCATCCCTAATGGTTGGTTGAAGGTCATTTACATATCGAGCAACCTTTTGTCCTTCTGTCTTTTGGAAGTTGTTTCAAGCAACTAATCGATAAAACCCCCCAGTATAATCTTCCACTTTTTTCTCATTCTCTCGAAGATTTTGAAGTGCTTGAAAGAAATTTGCTCATGATCAATAGAGAGAAAATTTTCTTTCAATTTCTTTTTCATCTTTTGCTAGTCAATAATTTTTCCTTTGCACTACGAAGTCGGGATTGTTGAACTTGCTCCCACCAGGCTGCAATAGACCCGCAGAGCATAGTAGCAACAAGTTTAACCTTACGTTCCTCTGGCAATCCACTCCATTCAAAATAATTCCCATCTGCACTTAACCAATCAATAAAAGCTTCAATGTGGAGCGTACCACGACATTCTACCGAAATCTCGTGGTTGCTCTATAGGATGCGGATCTTGTCTGCATATTTCTTCTTAACGTTCTGGATCAGCAGCCCGGGTTGGTCGAGAAGCTTGATTTGTCTCTACGGTGAGATTTGGCGCCAAGTTGAGGTTGCAAGCGCCCTCTTCTTGATGAATGGTGTCCTCCAATCGTTGCAACCTTAGATCCAACCGTTGCATCCCCTGAATGGTTTTACTTATTTCTCATCGGATACCCTCCAACATAATATTCAAGCTCTCCTGAATTTGCTGACCCATATAATCCATGAGTTGTCGCAATATATCCTCGAATGTAAGAGCAGGTTTCAACGACATCGTAACCGTTGAATCTCTAGATCTTACTTGGTCTGATACCAACTGATGCAGGGAGAAAATAAAACTGGAACAATAAAATAAAAAAGAAAAGGTCGAGAGAATATACCCTCTCTCAAGGTCTGCATGAGAATCCACCCCAAAAACAATCTTTTCTCAAGATCAATTTACTCAATTTTTAGTCGCTATTCTTTACAATAGGGACTTCTTCCCTTTAAATAGACTTTAAAAAAAAAATAAACAAACAAATAAAAAAAAAATAACCTAAAACTAAACTCTATTTCTCCTCTCAAAGTCACATACTCCCTATACCCCTATCTTCTCTTTCCAAGATAAGGACGCCCGCCTCTAAAAACCTATTCCTAATAGGAATCTTATTCACACACCATCCAAAGATAATTCTCTCTCTTCTACATACATTCCCCTATTCTATCTCTCTTCCCTATTTTCTCTTTAACCTTTTCTCTCTCACATACCATCCCTATTTTCTCTCTTTCTAACTTCCACATTGGCCTTTCTAAGAGTAAAAGATAACTACCACTAATCATTTACTAAACCAAAAGATCTTTACCTTATTTATATGTTATTCCCTAAACTAAAAAGATAAACCTTCCCAAACAAATCACGCACCAAACTTAGGCCCTCCTAACTTATCTCTTCATATCCCTAAGAAAAATAAAAAATGATAATACTAAATCTTTTTTTAAATATTTTTCTTTTGCATCACACCCCTCAATTCTCCCGAGTGTATTCATTTCGAATTGTATCATTTCTTATCTTTCCGCTCATCCATCTCAACATCCTGATCTCAGCTATACACTCATTCTATGGGTATGTTGTTTCTTGACCGCCCAACATTCCGCACCATAAAGTAAAACTTGTCTCACAGGTGTCCTATAGAACTTGCCCTTCAGCTTCATTGGTATGTGGCGATCACAAACAACTCTAGTTGCATATCTCCCCTTCACCCACCCAGCTCTAATTTATGTGCGACATCTTCCTCAATTTCTTCATTTTCCTGTATTATCAACCCACGATATCGAAAGTGTGCTCTTTATGGTATTTCTTGATCGTCAATCTTAACTACTTCCTTGTCTCTACTCTTATTATTACTAAATTTGCATTCCAAATACTTTATCTTAGTCCGGCTAATTTTAAAACCTTTAGATTCTAGAGCATCCCTCCAAAGATTTAACTTTGTGTTGACGTCATTTCGGGTCTCATCTTGTAGGTGCCTAGTTAAGTCGTCCAAAACTAAGACAAATAGGTATAGGCTCAATATTTCAGCATGATTTACAATACAAAGAATTCAAGGGAAATAATTTAAAGTATGGCAGCATTTGAGGTACCTCTCCAATGCTTTTGGTGCCCTGGAGACAACCTTTTTGTAAAGCCCTAAAGTTGCATGACTGTCAAAAACAAAAGAAAAGAGTATAAATAAACAAATAGCATGAGGTATCTCTATAACTCAAAAAAGATAAAGGGATTAGATATACAAATATTAACACCGGATATATTTATTACAAGTATACAACAAGTAAAGAAATTGGTCTCATTGCAGGAATGCTCTTTAGATGATTGAAACCACACTTTGAGGCAATTGTAAATAGTAAGAAATAATACGTAATAAGTTTCGAAAAAAAAAAAGAAATAATACATAATAGTAATAAACAAAATACAGTTATTCCATCAACACATTGAAAGCAAATAAAAATGGTAGATAATTAAAAAATTGAAATCAACCATCAAGAAAGATAAAAGCCTTTCCTATTTCAAGTTGTAAACGTCTTAAACTGGCATATAATAGAATTTCATCAAAATTATGACAAACTAAGAAAGAACTGCTGGAAAAAATGGAATATGACAGGTATAGAAAACCAAAAAAAATATAGCACGTCCCGTCAACACATTTTACATAAATTATCAATTTGTAAACCTGTGAGAGTTCTCTAGTCGATAATCTTCTAGGAGGGTAAGTTGGGAAAACTAGCAGAATGGAAACATGGCAGCTTTGAAGTTCTCTAGTCGACAATCTTCTGGGTGGGTACGTTGGGGAAACTAGAAGAATGGGAAAATGACACCTTTGTAAACACTCATGAGAATTTGGCTGCTGTCATGCTCAAGAATGGATTCCCTACTTGTAGGCCGTAAAAAGGAGAATCCGGCCAGACACAGTCACATGCCTATCATTAGAATATATGCAGAGTTTTGTAGAACGAAAATTCATCTGCCTAGGCGGTCCAAGGAGCGATTTGAAGCTGCCTAGGCGGCCCAAGGGGCAATCTGAACCGAACCGGGCCAAGGCAGGGCCCCATTCGGAAATGTACAAGGGAACCCACCCAGGCACCCTAGGACTGCCTAAGCAACCCGATCATACACTTGATAACCATGGGAAAAAATTGACAATTTCCTCCCCAAAAGGGGGGACAAGGGTTTCACCGGTCATTTTAGCCCTCCAAAACCCTTTTGTGATCATTTTCTCCTTGAAAATCTATCTTTAACCAAAATTTTGATATTCTTTTGAAGATTCAAAAAAATTCTGAACTTGCAACGATTTCAAAAGAAATCAAAAAGTATTCAATCCAAAACTTTTTGATACTTGATTTAGTTGCAAAAGAGGTCTTTCAGCAACCAAAGGTCATAGGTTCAAGCCAAGTTCAATTGGATTTTGAGACGTTAGTGTATTTCATTTTTTGGTTTAGGGTTGGATGATATTTATGATTATTGGATTTTTATTTGCTTTTTTTCAATTTGATTATCATTGTATGCTTCTGCTTTTTTTCCATTTTTGGCTTTGGATTGTCCTCCATTATTGAATTGTGGATTTTCTTTTTTTAGTTTTTTGACATTTTATTAAGATTCAGTAACTCAATCCTAAAAGGATATCAATAAACTCGAGCATATTAGGCTTTTGTTCTACTTTATTAGGTGTAAGTCATTCAATTCAAGTTTCAAAGTCATGTATGCCTAAGTTTGAACTGCACAAAAAAATAATTAACAAAATTGTGAAACAATGCTTTTAAATAAAAATAAATGTTTTATACACTCAATCAAGGGAGTTTCGTAACCCAGCAAAACCCCCTTGTATCATCTTCAAGGGCCTAAAAACACCCTTTTATATGCAGGCTGAATCCACCTTCTTGAACACTGGTAGACAATTAAAAAACTGGATTAAGAAAAGTGATTGCCTCCTTAGGTGCACATCTGAGGACCCTATAATCGATGTATTAAACATGCGAGGCAAAACCAAGACCATGAGAAAGCCACCCCGCCAAGGTGCTTCAGAAGCTGTCAAGAGATTCATGCAGTAATATCTTCCTTCTGATGGGGCAGGCGGTAAATATAAAAACAATTGATAAGAATACAATAATTTATATGTAAACCTAGACTGGGCGGGACTCCTTAACAATCGAAGTAACCTCCATAACTATGTGAACCTTTGCCACGTGTTTTGTACTGATCCATTATTATGCAATACCAATACATGGGTTCATATTTGTGTAGAATGCTACAATTGGATTGATGTTGTTGTAAAACTCCAATAAAGAATTAGCTATGACAATATTGTTTACTTTGGAAGTGTTTTCCAAATAATACACGGAGGTAAATCAAAAAGGTTTTAGTTAAGGAACTAACAAGATCCCAAGAAATATTTATGCTCTTAATCACTGAAATAGATTGTGATATAGAGGGACTTTAGCATTGCTTCTAGGAAGGTAAGAAAACAGTCACCACATGCAACTTTCTTGCACTTTCAATTGTTACGAGAGCTTCACAATATTTCCATATTCATACAACACACTGTTGTGGATAATCAAGTATTTACCTATTTCTTCTTGTGTTTAAGTCCTTGAGGACATATTGTCATTTCCTTTTCTTAAGGGGTATTTTTGTACTTCATGCTTTATTATTAAAATAAATATTTTGAGTAGGGTATGGGTGTCCAGGAGGACAGTGTTTCTATTATCTATTTTCTTCATCACATGACTCTCTCTCACTCTCTCTCATCTACTTCTTTCTCTTCCAAGACCTTGATCTTCCTTGCACTTCTTTAAAGTCCAACATACTAGTTTGTGGTATTTTAACTTGGTATCAGAGCAGGAGACTTCAACCAGAATGATGTGTATTTTAACTTGACTGTAGTGTCTTGGTTATTGCACTCAATGCAACCTTCAATTAGTAGGGGTTTCCTGCTTCTTCAGACTGCAAAAGAATCTGGGAATAATGTCCCAGGTATACAACTGAGATAGAAGATATCTCATCTTCGAAAGGGGGAGCGGTCTCTAGCAACATATTTTTCTTTACTTCGCAGGCTATGGGAGGAATTAGATCATTATCAAATGTTTAAACAAGCCTGTCAGCAAGTGGGGATAATTGAACAAAATCGTATCTTTTGAGTTTTTGGCTGGACTGGATTGAACCCCAAGTTTGATTTAACTAGGGTCAAATTCTTAGTCGGGATACTCTTCCATATCGCAATCAAGTATACTCCTTTATCAAAAGTGAAGAAAGTAGAAAGAGTGTCATGTTGCCTACACAACCAATGGATTGTTCTACTCTGGTCTTTGCCTCATTGCCTCCTAAGAACAATAAAGGGAGTGGAACACGAAAATTTGTTTAAGGGAGTCCCAATCAAGGAGATAAAAGTAAGCTATACAATCATTGTGGTAGGATTGGTCATGTCAAACAGAATTGCTAGGATCTAGTTGGTCAACCTACAAAATTCAATTGTCTTGAGCAATTCAATGCACATAATGCTTCATCCTGGTGGTTCACAAACTATTGAGGTAGGTCAAGTACAACCCAATGCAGCTACATCCTGGCCTTCTGTCCAAAGGGAAATGATCCCAATCCCTAAGGAGGAAATTGAGAGCCTTCGTCGGTTGTTTGCACTATTAGATGGCCCACCAACTACCTCGACTTCATCATTTGCCCACTCAATTATTGATGCTTCTACTAACCATGTCTCCCTTTATCCATCTGGATAGTCTTGGATCATTGATTCTGTCGCTTCAGATCATATGACTTCTATGTTCCCTTATTGTTCCTATTTTTTCTAACTCAAGAGCACAAAAGGACAGTGGAGGGCAGCCTCATGATGTTAGAGTCGAAAAAAATGAATTAAAAGTCTATACCCAACGGAAACAAAAAGAAGTGAAGACTACCAAAGCTGACAATGCCTCAGAGCTTGTCTCATACCTCTAAACCAAGTAATCTTAATTCCACTTTTATCAGTTTTTAGTGTGAACAATTGGATCAGCCCATTGTTGTACCAAAAGGTGAATTTAGTTGTACTACTCACTCGATTAGCAATTTTGTTTCTTATGTTCTCCTTCCTATCATGTTTTTGTGTCCTTTGTCTTCTATTTCTATCCCTTCCTGTGTTACAAAAGTTTTAGCCCATCCTAAGTGGAAGGCAGCTATGTGTGAGGAGACAAAGGCGTTGCTTAAGAATGGCACTTGGGAGCTGGTAAAGCCTCCCAAAGGGAAGAAGTTGGTTGGCTGGAAATGGGCTTAAATTGTGAAGCACAAGGCTGATGTACTATTCAAAGACACAAGGCAAGCCTAGTTACCAAGGGGTATACTCAGACTTATAGAATAGACTACCAGGAAACATTTGCTCCTGTAGCTAAAATGAATTCCATTCGAGTACTTTTGTCTTTGGCAGCTAACTTAGAGTGACTCCTACATCAGTTGGATGTTAAGAATGCATTCCTTCATGGGGAGTTACAAGAAGAAGTATAGACGGTACCCCCACCTGGGTTTCGTGCACTTGGATGTAAAGGGCAAGTTTGTAGACTGAGAAAGGCCACCTATGAACTAAAGCAATCTCCTCGGGCTTGGTTTGTGAAGTTCAATGGGGTTGTCCAAAGAATCAGATATGCCTGAAGTCATGTTGACCATACCTTATTTATCAAACATACCAAGCCCAGCACCAAAATCTTAATTGTATACTGGCGAGAGAATTTGAAATCAAAGATCTAGGCCCACTGAAGTTCTTTCTTAGAACAGAAGTGGCCAGGTCAAAAAGATGAATTTTCATCTCTCAAATGCAATACATTGATCTACTTAAGTCAGCTGATAGACCTACAGAACAAAATCACAAGCTTGATGACCAAAGGGGAGAAGCTCTCAAGGATGTGGGTATGTTTCAAATATTAGTGGATCAACTACTAACACGCCCAGACATTGCATATGTTGTGATTGTGGCCGGTTTATGTATTGCCCATGAACTATCCACCTTGAGGTTGCTATCAGAGTATTCAGGTATCTAAAATCATCACTAGGAAGAGGACAGTTATTTGCTAATCATGGGCATTTATGAGTTGAAGGCTATACATATGCAAACTGGGCTGGTTTCAAAGGTCGAGATCAGGATATTGTATTTTTATCGGAGGGAACCTTGTGACTTGAAGGAGTAAAAAGCATTCAGTAGTGGCAAGATCAAGTTACAAAAGCTAAGTATAGATATGTGACTCATGGTGCATGTGAATTACTCTAGCTAAAAATTACGACAACCTGCTTTTCCCCTAAAAAGGTCAATGTCCTTGTACTGTGACAACAAGGCAGATATTAGTATAGCTCATAATCCAGTCCAGCATGACAAAACGAAGCATATAGAAGTGGATCATCATTTCATTCGAAAAATGGTTGCTACAAAGGACATTTGTCTTCGATATGTTAAAACAGAAGATTAGTAAGGAGATATTCTTACCAAGGCTGTGGGGAAACCTCGGCTGCAAATGATTTTAAGCAAGCTTGGCACAATAGATACCTATGCACTAAATGAGTCATTTGAACCCCAATTTCATTTATATAACCATTGAATCATGCTTTATCCATAGATAGGTATTGATAGCCAATTTTCTCTATGGGTCAGCCGGCACTCAAAATGGTATTCGCTCTTCTAATCATCCAATTACCGTGAATTTCATTTGAATGCCCTCGAGGTTTTCTCTCATGCATCATGCCGCAATCTAGGATTATATAAGGCAACGTTGAGTTTCGGGTAATCGTTCCTATAAGATAATTCTGTCCAAATTTCATTGGCCTTTTAAATTGAGTTTGCATTTTAACGTCACAAAGTACACCCAAACAGATTAAATTAACATGCTTAGTCATTGAACCACACTTACAGAGCAAGAAGTTCATGAACATAAGATTGCAAGCGACAGACAATAAGCATCGATATAACTATAGCAAAACTACAGATTGGACAACATGGTTGGATGACAAAATGGCACCAAGAACAACTCCCAGAGAAGGCAAGAGAAACCAAAATTCAAACAAAAAAAAAAAAGTAGTGTATGCAAAACATACCTGCATTGAGCAGCAATCTTGCCTTTGCCCATCTTCAGGTCATTCCTAACAACCAGCACCTATCCAGTAGAACATATACCTCACTGAGTGGCCATGAAAGTCAGAGAATAGAAGATATTGCCCGAATTCAAAAACAAAGGGAGACCATTATGGATATAAAATGCAGAACACTCATGAAACCCCAACTATAAAGGAAATAGATTTCATTAGGAATGGATGAGATCCCTGGCTGGACTGATAGTGGAGCCAGAGAAAAATAAGCCAAAGGAAAAGGTACGAGAGAGACAGAGAGTAACAAGATCAACAATAATGATAATGACAAAAGTAAGAGAGAGAGAGAGAGAGAGAGAGAGAGAGAGAGAAGAGTCACTATTTGAAGTCTACAGATAGTACTTTACACGTACTTATACAATAGTAGAAGTATTACTAGACGTAGTAGGAGGGAGGTAGTTGTAGGAAGGAG